CACATGAAAAAAACTCTCAACATTACTAGTCATTAAGAAAATGGCAATCAAAACCACAATGAGATATGAACTTATATACACTAGAATAGCTGTAATAAAAAATTGGAAAATAACACATATTGGTGAGGATGTGGAAAAACTATCCTCATACATTGCTAGTGGGAATACAAACTGATTCAGTCACAGTGGAAAACAGCTGTCAATTCCTCAAATAATTAAACATAGAATTACCATATGATATGGCAATTCTACTCCTGGATATACACAAAACAAATGAAAACAAGCCAGGCACAATGGCACATACCTATAATCCTAGCAGTTTGGAAGACTAAGGCAGGAGCATTGCAAGTTCAAGCCTAGACTAGGCAACTTAGCCAGACCCTGTCTCACAATGAAAACAAAAAAGGACTGGGATATAGCTCAGTTGTAGAGCAACCCTGGGTTAAACCCCAGTACCACAAACAAACAAAAAAAATTGAAAACAAGTGTTCAAGCAAACTAATTATGACAGAATACTTTAAAATACTCCAGGGAAAAAAATACCTCAGCCATACACAGTGGTGCAATGCCTGTTGCTGTTTATTGAGACCCTCTCTCAAAATTAAAATAAAAGGGCTGGGGGTTGTAGCTYGATAATAGAAAACACCTGGGTTAATCCCCAGCAGCAGAAAAACAAGTCTTGTAGATGAAACAAGACTAACGAAATTGTCAAAGTATGGTAGGTGATGGACACTTGGGGGCCCATTTTACTACTATTTCAATTTTTCTATAGATTTGATAATTACAATAATGAATTTTAGAAAGAACTCCTGAATAACATTAACATTTTAATGACACTAAAAACAAAACTTATTTCTAATTATTAAGTACTTAACATTAAAAATGATTTATCCTTCAAACATTCATTTTAATTCAAAAAATGGCAAGGGTATTTCTATATAATGATAGCTGTTTTTATAAAAACTCTCCCAATTGTGTTTCCATAATAGATATCTTTACCTCTTCCACATAACAGATATCTTTACCTCTTCCACAGAATGCCCCTCCTGGCTTTCACTGAAACAATTTCTCTGTTCCTTATTTCAAGCTTCTCAACTAATTCTACCTCTAATTGAGCACCTTGGCAGTAAATCAATCTAATTTGTCTTTTTTACTCTGTATGATATTTAGAGACTATTGTTCATTCATTTACCCATCAGATAAAGATTTACTAAATGGCTACAATGTGCCAAGCACTGAGTAAACTCCTGAATACTCAGAGATAAAAATACTGGTTTCAACCTCAGGAAGCTTATCAGAGAAGAAGCAAGTCTAATATACAACAATATTTGTAAAAGGAATCTATTTATAAAAGGTAATAAAAGCACACAAGAAGTATAACCTAAAAGCATCCAGAGTAGTCCCTTTCCTCACTGAAATTTTCTCTTTCAACCAAAACACGATTCTCTCCTCTTTGAAAATATTACTTAAAAGTTAGCTCTATGTTAGCTAGGTGTGTTGGCACATGTCTGAAATCCCAGCAATTTGGGAGGCTGAGGCAGGAGGATTACAAGTTAAAGGCCAGCCTCAGCAATCTAGCAAGGAAGGCCCTAAGCAACCTAGTGAGACCCTGTCTCAAAATAAAAATAAAAAGGGCTGGGAATGTGGCTCAGTGGTTAAGCAACCCTGGGTTCAATCCCCAGTACCAAAAAGCAAAAAAAAAAAAAAAAAAAAAGTAATGTCTTCCTCCCAAAAAAGTATACTTGTTCCCAAATACCATGAATCTTAAAGAAAATCAACCAGATCTGTGAAACTCAATAGCAAATAAGAAAGAAAGACTGCTCCACAAAAGTACAAAACACAGAAGATACTTAAATTCTGTCTTGATTGTGCCAAGCTCTAATTTTGTCTATTCACTCGCTTTATGTGTCATTTGCATTTTAATCTATTTCTTTCTTGAAATTGTGCATCTTTCAAAAACAAAGGCTTTATAATATTCAGAGTGGCTTGATAGACATTCCTAGATATAACCATCTGGTTAGAAGGTGAGGATGGGCAAAGAGGAGGAACTCCTGCAGACTTCTCTTTTTAATTTGAATTCCAATTGCTGACTAGTGCCAGAGAATCAAATACAAAAGTTAAGTTTCCTTAACTTTAACTTAATGCAACCAAATGGGAAAAAAAAAAAAAAGCCTCTTCTAATGTATATTTAAAACTGGAATGGTATTTTGAAAAGAAAAAAAGAAAACCTCAGAAATGACAATATTATCTCCAGCAACCTCAGAGAATTGGAAGGAAAAAGCAAACTGCAAATAAGTTTTGGATGAATAATGTTCTAAGAAACCAGGCAATTCCCAAAAGAGACATTAGTTATATACAAATTCTGTCTCCTAAAAGAAAATACAGATCTTGAACAACAAAAAAACAAACAAACAAAAAAGCAGAGAACTATTTGAGAACAGAAAATACAAAGGCATGGAACCAAATACATAAGACATGAAACCTGACTGAACCTGGATCAAAAAAAAAAAAACAAAACAAAAGTTCAGGAACAAATGGAGAGACCTGAATACAGATCATTATGTTAAACATTGCTATGGTTTGAAGGTATATGTCTCTCTAAGGTCAGATGTTAGACTTTAATCCTGATGGCAACATGGTAAGAGGTAAAGCCCTTGGGAGGTAAAACCATAACCACTCAACTCTCATGGATGGGATTAATGCTCTTATAAGAGACTCCAGAGAACAACCTCCCTACTTCCATCCTTCTGCTATGTGAGAACACCTAGACAAAGCCATCTACAAGGAGCAGATCTTCACCAAACACCAAGCCTGCCAGCACGGTGACCTAGGATTTCCCAGCCTCAGAACTATGAGAAATAAATTCTGCTGTTTATAAAATACCCAGTCTGAAGTATTTTGTTATAGCAGCACAAATAGACTGATAAAATATTCTAAAATTAATGTTAATTTCTTATATGTGATATAAGTATTATGATTATGCAGGAAATAAGCCATAGTATCAATGGTTTTAAAAATACATAATTACATATAAGTGAAAATGTGGCAAAACATTAATAGAGTGAATTGAGATGAAAAGCAATGTGGGTGTTCACTGTCTTATATTTTCAATTTTTCTATAGCAGTGAACATTGTTAAAACAAATTGTTGAAAGGGAGGGAAGATAAAAAGCATGAGAGGAGGACAGCTTGACTGAAGCATGAGGAGTATAAGCAGCACTAGTCTCCAAAATCATGAGAAGCAGCTGTGTGATCTTGGGCCAGTCACGAAACCTCTCTAGGTTCCAGGTGAAAGAGAGGAAGCACATGATCTCAAAGATTCTTTCCAGCTAAAAGACTCCATTATTCTGTTACTACCTCTCAGCTCTAAAACTCAAAAGATAACCAAATGCAAAGTGGAAAAACTCACAGGACTAAGGATCAAATGAAGGCTTAAAAACAGTTAGCCAAATGCCTCTCACATAAAGCACAAAAAAAAAAATATTAACTYCCCTCTTTTGAGAAAACATCATAAAAATTCTTCTGAGAAGAAACAGAAGGTAGCTAAGATTATTAATTCGAAGAAACAAGTAACACAGAGTTAGAAAGATGTAATAGCTACCCAATTTCAGTTTTCATCTAAACTAAATATAAATATGCCAGTGAGCCACAAAACCAAAAAGATAATGAACCTAAGAGTTTAGACAAGATAGATACTTTCAAGTGACCTTAATATGATAGACATTTAATGACAGGATATTGGAAAATCTCCAAAATAAAATTACCAGCCAGAGCTTGGGTTACTAGCCTGGGAAGATTTCAGACTGGTTAAAAGAATTATCTATTTTTAAAAGACAGTGAGGGAGAGAAAACTTAATACTCAATGAAAAGTACGGACAAGTAATTTCAGAAACATTTTAGAAAACTGTTTCCCATAGAATTGGTTATTTTACCAAAAGGGATTTAATTATAATGCTAGAAACAACATTAGTGCTGGAAATAAAGCATCTGACAAAATTGTAATACATACTAGTTAATACTTTAATACTTTGTTTTCTCTTTTTCCCTGAAATTGAATTTTATATGACTTTTAATTAATTATGAGTTCAAGTCCATGTGACTTCAGTCTTTCTGGAAATACAGAAATACAGAAACCAAAAGGAAGAACAAGTGTTCAACAAGAAATATATATATCTTATATAATGTACACTGAGTTTCGTGCCAGGCAGTTAAAAACATAAGACCATGGAAACACAGGGTGAAGACGCACTATAGATTCTGCTAATTGTAAATACTAGTTAAAAATAATAATTATGTGTTATGGTTTAGATCTTAGGTGTCCCCAAAAGCTTTGTGTGAGACAATGCAACAAAGAGGTGAAATGACTATGTTGATACTTAACCTAATCAGTGTGAATCCCTGATAGGGACTAATTGAGTGGTGACTAGTGGCAGGTGGGGTGTGGCTGGAGGAGGTGTCACTGGGGGTATTCCTTTGGAGGAGGAGATATATATATTTGCAATTTAATTGTTTATTTCCAGAATTTTCTATCTAATATTTCTGGATCATGGTTGACTACAAGTAATTGAATGAAGCTCTCTCTCAGCTTCCTGCTGCCCTGTTCCCCACTCTTTCCTCTGCCCACTCTTCTTCCATGATGTTCTACATCACCTCAAGTCCCAAGGAATAGAGCCAGCCTTCTATGGACTGAGGCTTTTGAAACCCTGAACCCCAAAATAAACTTTTCTTCCTCTAATTGTTTTTGTCAGGTCTTTTGGTCACACTAATGAAAAGGCTGGCTAAAACACTGTGTCACAAATGAGATAAAATTCATTAATATAAATGGCAGGCAAAAAAAAAACACAAATGCAAAATGATAGTAATCTGCCTCGGTAGAATAATCTAACATAAAGAAAAGGACAAATCTAACATAAAATTCAGACAAGTCAAAATTGTTATTCAGTTTCAAGGATCAAAAAGAATCTATTCAATAATTCGTTAAGAACAATAAAGTAATCCTACCTTACTACTACTCATTGCTGGTCGTGTCTCAGTTAAAGTAGTAGATCCATGTTGAGGTATTAAGATTAAGAACAAGGAAGACACTAGAAAACATTCAGGGAAGCCTCACGGGAATGATCATAGGCCTAGCCAAAGACAGGAGCTGCAAGAAAAAGTTACAGAAATCAGAACTATTCACTATAGAGAAAGATGTAAAAATGTATACATATCGTATAATAGGATATTATTGGAAATTAACTGGGACAATTTATCACATTCACCAAATTAAACATTAGAATACTATAATTGCCAAATTTGTCTACCCACTGCTGATTCTCTCCCCTTTCTTTCCACAACTTTCCAATGTATAATGTATTTTACCTTCTACCCCACCCTATCCCCCAGATTTGAAGAAATAATTCTTGTTTTTCTCCATTTTCACAGCATAAAACTGCAAGTTTGAAGCATATCAGAACAAACAACTATGTTAAATATTTTAAAATATTAAAATATTGTTACAACCCAAAGAAGTAACTAAGAATGCAAGAAAATTTTTTTCAAAGGCTGAAGGTGGTTTACGGAAGATTGTCCCAGCAACCACACAATTTCCTGGTTTTATGAACTTTAGTATGCCAAAGCAGGATCTTTGAATTGACTGTTTTCCCTCAATCCTTGAAACTGGAGGGTCTTAGCTCTCTTATCACTGATATCAATATACAGTTGTCCCTCAGTATACATGAGAAATTGGTTTCAAGACTCCCATGGATGTTCAAATCCTTTATATAATATGGCACAGTAATTGCATATAACCAACACACAGCATACAGATTTCTTACAATCATCTCTAGGTTGCTTACAATACTTAATACAATATAAATGCTATGTAACAGTTGTTATACTGTTTGTTTAGGGATTAAGGACAAGAAAAAAAAGACTTCATGTTCAGTACAGATGCAATTTTTTCTTAATAATTTTGATCTATATTTGGTTGAATCAACAAATACAGAACACATGGTTATAGAAGGTCACTATACGTGGTTTACAACCCAGTTTCTCATCTTTTGCCTCATACCTTCCTATTTCTAATCCCAACTCCTGGTTTATGATCAGCTCTCCTCTTCTTTCAAACTCTTCTTTTTGTGTTTGCCTAGTCTGTTTCCTTTCATTTCTCCTCCTTCCTTGATTTTCATATGAAATTTCATAAATATTACCAGAAATATCACTGCTTTCCTTCTGGTCAGGAAACTGACCAAACACCTTGTATCAATCATATTCTCCAGATCTTCCACTCCTCTAATCTTTTACCAATTTCCAAAGGGTTCATTCTTTGCCTCCACACATACAAAAAAAAAAAAAATTCTAGATTTGGCAAGGTTCCCAATGCTAGAATTGGTTGGAAATCTAATCTATATATAATTTAAAATGTTTTTGTCCTTCTTCCACTAAACTGTATAGTGGACAGTGATTTTTACCTTAATTTAGCCAGCATTCTCCTAGAACACGCTATGCACAAAACAAGGGTTACTGAATGATTGAAATTACAAGGTGAATTATGACTTTCTATGATTTACATATGGTGGTGTAAAATAAGGCTTTGGGACAAGAGTTATTTTATTGAACTATAAAGTACGACTTAAGATGACATTTAAATATGGCAATTTTAATCGTGACTTCTCATATACTTCTTTCAATAGAGTACATTCTACTAAACCTGCAAGATATAATACAGTAAATGTCTTCCTCACTCATAAGATTCCTAAGGAACCAAATGCAGTGAATATGTACCTAAATGTGTGTATTATACAAGTATCTAATACCATTCCAAAGTCAGACCCCCAAATTACTGGGTCATCAGTAAATTTTAAATTTTTAAAATTTTCAGACTGTCTCATCAGTACAGATAGTTGAGAGTTATTTAGAATTCCATATTCTGGTCTCACATGATATGGAAATGGTCATATTCAAAGGCCTAAGAATAACAGACACAACTATTCAATGGGTATTCCACATTCAACATTGAGCAGTGTCCATGTTTTGCTCAAGACAGCTAGTCAAAGCACCCATGTGTTGTCTCTCATCTCCAACTCAGTTGTCTCTATCATTTTTATTTTTCAATGAAAAATATTTTCCTTAATATTAAAATAGCTCATTGGTAGCATCTCTAAATGGAACTTCTTTTCCAAACTATTATGAATATATGAATACAAAATTATGTTCTTTGTGTTACTTCAAAGTTATTATCAGAACTCAGCAAGGATTTCCATAGACAACAATTAAAAATGTATAATGACTACCTTCTAGTCCACCTTAATTGTCCCTCATCAATTTCCCCAATGACACAGGCTCTCATCTCTAAAACACACTCAGAACCAATTATAATTCCTATTTCCTAAATGTGCTGCTTCTTCATAAATGGAGTTGGAGTGAGGCAAGAGAAGTGGCTGAAGTACAAAATGTAAGGAAGCACTCTCAGGATCCTACAGCACCACCCTACAGATGCATTGCCCTGAAAGTAGGTAGACCTGTGTTATTTTTTTACCCCAAAAAAATATATCTCCCTTTTTTTTTTTTTTTTTTTGTAACAACATTTTGGTGTTCTTTTTTGTTAAACTATCATTCTTTATCCTCTATCCAGGTGCTCAGGATGACACTAATCACTTGCACTCTAAAGTTCCGATATTAGGCACATGGCATGGGTCTGAAAAATCAGCAAGTAGTAGTTCAGGAATGGGTACATGACCCAAACTGCACAAATGAGACTGAATCCCAACTTTTTTTTTTTTCATTGCTGGGAATAGAACCCAGAGTCACACACATGCCAGGCAAGCTCTCTACCACTGAGCTACTTCTCCAGTTTGCTCCCTCCCAAATATTTTTGTAGAAATTCATCAGGAAGGAACATTCACTTTCAACGGAAGTTGCTAAGATGAAAGAACATAAGTACCTATTCGAAAGTGGGCCAACCCACTTTCACCAAGTGATGAAAAGAGAAATAGATAAAATTCTGAAACATTTTGCTACTAAATCTGAGTTCAAATATGAATAGACATAGTTGCTGAAATTTAGAATTAATGTTTAGAAATTATTCTTCCTAGATTTTTCATGTTCCTGCATAGTCAGGGTCACCTGAACTAAAGGTAGTATAAGGATATTTCATAATAGACAAGTTTGGATGCTAGACACCATGTTTTTCTAAAAGTAGAGATCACTTTGGAGATCTCTTTGGAGAGTTTTATCTTTATTGGAGAAATAAAGCCCTGGAGATATTCACTTATATCTTAGGATAATAAACCTAAAGAAACCTTCCTCCTCTTTAAGAGGGCAACAGCTAAAAAAGTAATCACCCTCCCTCTGCAGAAAAAGATGGCAAATGTGCCAACAGCCTATATAGGCCTAGAGTCTCCTGATTCCAAGACTCCTCTCTGTGATGCAAATCCACTGCATGGCAAATATCTGGCTTTCATCACAGCAGCCTATCAGAGGGATGGGAACATATGCAACCAGCACTAAGGAATTGGCCACTGCTTTTGCTATATTAAACCCCAAGTCTTGGGTTGGGACTTTTCTGTTAGTATATGAAAGTAAAACTCAGGCCGGATAACTTCTTAGGTTATAAGCAAAGTAACCTCAATACTTTCAGAGTTCTAGACTTAATAGATGAGACAATAATGTTTTTCTTACTTATTCAGTCAACAAATTCTTGTTGAAATACTACTTAGCTATATGCCATGAAATTTCCTAGACAAAGAAGACAGACAAAAATCCCTGCCTCTGTGGAGATCATATTTTAGAAAGAAGAAACCCAATACAAAATAAATCTGTAAAATACACAGTGTTGGGTGGTGAAAAACACTATCAAGAAAGAGAAAAACAGGAAAAAGTAATGAGAAGCATGTGGGAAGTAGGAGATTTCAAATTTACATTGAGTGAAAATGTTATAAATAAAGTGATTTCCTATAAAGACCTGAGGATATAAGGAAGTGAGTTACATGGGGAGGAAGAAGAACATTCCTAGGAAAGAGTAAGTACAAAGTAGCTATATAAGGGCAGCAAGGAGGACTTTGTGCAGTGAGTGGTGGTAATTCTAGTAAACTCTGAATAAAGTTTCTGCACTAAGGAGGGAGAGCAGGACTACAAAATTCTCTCCCATTTTAAGGGCTTGAGCTTTTACTCTGAATTACATGGGGAGCCACCACAAATTTCTTAACAAAAAAGTGATAGGATCTCCTACTTTTCAAAAAGATGACAGGTATTTTTTGAGAGCAACAGTCCTAGAAGGGAGTGTTATTAGGAATTATGTAGGAGGAGAAAGATGGTGTTGAGCCAGGATGACTGAAGTAGAGATGGGGAGAACTAGTCAAATTTTTTTAAGCAATATGTGGAAATATGGTATGATAGAAGTGATAGAAAAAGAATCAAGAATAAATTTCAAGGTTCCAAGCTTAAGCAAAAACAGAATGGAGTTACCACTTACAAAGATGGGAAAGGCTGATTTTTTAAACCATGTTCCTATCATTTGTTTGGGGTTCCAAAAGAAGCCTGACAAATGTAAAGCTTATGTCAGAAATCTGGTAATACAGTGGCAGCCATAACATATGGAACTAAGTCAATGATAGAAAATGAAGAGAACTTGGTATTTTTCTATTTTAAAGTAAGAAATCAACAACCTTTAATATGCAAAACAGCTGGTAAGTTACTGATCTTATAAATCAAACTATAGGTCTACTAAGGAGGAGACTGTAAGGTACATAGTAAAAGATGTAAGGAAGCTGGTATACTAGCTATTATGTTTCAATCTTTAGCAAATTCCTTCAAGAAAGAAGTATTTTAAGCCTGGATGGGGTGGTGCAGACCTGAACCCTCCATTCTGGAGACTGAGGCAGAATGATGGTAATAAGTCCAACCTCAGCAATTTAGTGAGACTCTATCTCAAAATAAGAAATATAAAAGGCCAGGGATGTAGATCAAGCAGTAGAGCATCTCTGGGTTCAATCCCCAGTAGAGAAAGGAAGGAAGGAAGGAAGGAAGGAAGGAAGGAAGGAAGGAAGGAAGGAAGGAAGGAAGGAAGGAAGGAAGGGAGGGAGGGAGGAAGGAACGAACCAACAATTATTAGAGTAAAGCCATACACACCCAAGATGGCTGACAATCTTGTAATTTATAGAA